GACTATTTGAATTATATTTCATGTTTAAATCACATTTAATTTTTTAAAGGAAAAGTACAACTAACAAATATCATTTAAATAAATTATTGCGTGGTTAGCATTTGATGTAAACCAAGTGCCCTACATTTCTGATGTTATCTCTGTTACTTTTGATGCAGACAGTTATGAAGTCCAGTGGTGGACAAAATGAAAGGGAGCTTTTGCAAGAAAACATAGAACAGTTGGAGGATTTGCCATACAGACTTGTTAATTGATAGTTATTGTAGCGATGACATTCGTTTATGGTTTTTCTTTTGTTATAAGATGTCAGGAAAAGGGAAGTGATTTTCTTTGCTGTTGTTTGACATTTGTGGTGGTAGTTAGAGTTTTGTTAGAATTGGATGCTTTTTGATACTAGGTTTTGTTGGTCTCTTCATCTTTCACATTGCAGTGAAGTGATTCTTAGAGGTGGAGAAAGGAAATATCAGGTTTTCTCCCTTGCATGATATAATTTGTTCCAAGCTGCTAAGCTAATCTCACTTAAATCAGTTTTGAAGTTTTGCCTTAAAGAGACGCCTGTAAAAGCCAAATGAGGTATGAATCTACATTATGAGTTCTTTTATCTCCCATTATTAACCGACTTGTAGAGTCCTAAATATCCTCATTTCCCAGTACGTAGTGAATCTCTCCCCCCTTGGTATGAGTATGACGCTTTGATAACGCTGAAATCTCAATCGTCGTCAATAGGGGTGTTCACGGTTTGGATAAAAAACTGATCCAAACCGAAAAATTGAACCAAACCGATTAAATAAATCAATTTTTATTTGGGTTAGGTGTGGTTTGGTTTTAAAATTTTAAAATCCGATAGTATATGGGTTGGTTATGATTTTGTTCGAAAAAATCGAAGAAATAACCGAATCTAACCGACAAGTTATATACATATATTTTATTGTTATACATACATAATATATTATTTTTATTAACAACTTTAATCTTATATGTGTTTTCATCAAAATTTATTTATAATTATGAAAGGAAAAATGCCCAAGGTGAAAATATTTATCATATTGGTATTATGTATATGAGTGTGCTTGTGACAATTTTTTATAAGATTGAAAATATCAATGTCTCTTTCTTCTAAGCCAAAATAATGAAATTGGAAGCTTTATTCATAGTAAATTCAATGATGGAAAATTATGTAATGTCAGTCATTCTAACTATTTTCGTTTTAAATAAATTGTTGTCATTTTTTTTAACTCTTTGAATGAATTGTTTTTTTATTTTTGTCTATGGTTAATAATCGAATAATCGAACCAAATCGAACCGAAACCGATAAGAACCAAACCGATAAATATATACTATATTTGGTTTGGTTTGATTTTGATAATTTTAAAACCGATTAAGTTGGTTTGGTTTTGGTTTTGACCAATAACCGATCCAAATCGACCCGTGAACACTCCTAGTCGTCAATAAAGAGTCGGAGTCGAATTCCACAGGGACTGGTGTATTGTTAAGAATTTATTTAATTAGAGAATTGACTAGCAATTTATTTCAATGAAGTTGAAATAGCAAAGGGGCGGAGAGCAATTAATTTCAATGAAGTTGAAATAGCAAAGGGGCCGAGAAGCCCACCAATTTTAACAACACTGATTTAAACTCCCTATTGACAAAATTACAATAGTTGATGATTCAAAAAACTAATTAACTTAGGGGCGTGGATATTGAATTTGATTTCATTTGGGTTATTGTAGAATTGCTCATTACAATTAATTAATCACAAATAAACTGGGTCGTCATCATTAATGCTAATCTTCTTTCGATCTCAAAGCATCCTTGCATAGAATCTTCTTTCGGTCTCATCAACATGTCATTTTAATCAACCCAAAACTTTAGAATTGCAATCAAGTGTACTAAATTGTAGCTATTGATTAGATAACCCACTTATATTGGTCTTTTTTGAGCATCAATGCAAGCTCAAAACTAAAATTAAGTTGGCCACCTTAATTCATGAATTAATCACTTGGCAATCAGTCAAATTTGTGATTAACAGTCATAAAATAGAGCAATTCAACAAACCCACTAAATTATATCAATGCGCAATCACATTATCACACTCCAAGAGTTTGAAGTTTTAGCCACACATTGCAAAGTGTAAAGAAATTATGCCTTCCATGCAATAAATCATGGGTTACATGAAATTGAACACTTAACAGCAAACCCACTTCAAATCTGGCTTCAATTCACCCAATTCAAGTTTACAACTCTAAGAAATTCGAAACTAAAAGTGTTCTCCCTTAATGGAAAAGTGTTTCTCTCTAAAATGTGCAGACTATTCTTCTCAATTTCTGCATACCCTCTTTCTCTCTTCTCTGAGCTATGTATAGTTTTCTAAAATTTTGCCCAAAAAGTAACTATGTGTCTCATTCGGCGAAGTTAGCTGAGTTCGCCATCTACATTCGGTGAATCACCCATCTATCTTCAATTCACCTTTTTCTTCTTTCAGGCTTTAGGTGTTTACGCCTCATTCGGTGATCCCGTTCGAGTTTTCGTTTGTCAATACGGAGGATCGCCGATTTTCACCTCATATCGCCCTTTGGACCATCATTTTATCTGCAAGTATTGTCATATTCGGCGATATCTACTCACTTCACCTTTTCTCTTTCTGTGGATCACCGTTCTTGTCTCACTTCACCAGTTAATCTTGAGAGTTGACTCAGTGCACTGTCACCTAAGGCAGTCTCAGGTTCTTTTGACGATTCACCCTTCCTGTTAGGTGATTAACAATGCGTATTTTACACTTTTTTTTTTAAACATTTTTTGTCATTCTTTAAAACTTCAATCCTTGTCTTGTTCAATTGCCTTGATAATTGCAATTCATGAATCTTTTATTGGAATAAGATAAAATTAAACATTTAAGACACTAATTATTGAGCTAAATGAACGTTGAATGAGCGCAAGTGTCACGTATCCCCGACAATAACATCTTCCTTTGCTAACCCCCATAGAAGGTTGTGTCTTCAGTTAATGGATGTTTTATTGGCGGTGTTTGTAAGAAATGGTGACATGGTATTTGTTTGGTGCTTAGACCATCTCCAACCCAACACCAAATTTTATACTATTTTGGTGTGTGAATAGTGTTACATCAAATTAGGTGTAACACTATTCATCACACCAATTCACTTTATTGAATATTTTAATATTATTTCATTATACAAATTTTTTAATTAAACATTATATAAATTGTATGTTTTAATTAAATCTCTTGTATATTTAATTATTTTTATGCAATATCTTTATAATATTATTTTTAGTTATAAAAGTTAGTTTTTTTTATAAATTAATTTTTCTATACGACTTTTTTTAAAAAACTTAAAAAATTATGTTATAAAATATGGTATAAAATAATTTTATATTAAACGACTATAAAAGAAAATAATATGAATTATATATGGTGAATGTTTTAGAAAGAATTTGTTTTATGATTTAAGAAAATATAAATGAAATAAGAAATAATAATATAATAATGAAGAGAGAAAAATATTCCTTTTTGGTGTAAAATTTGATGCTGTGGGTTGGAGTTGATTTATATTAAAATAGTACTGACACCAAATTTGGTGTAAATTTTGGTGTTTGGGTTGGAGATACCCGTAGTAGTATTATATTTACACCAAATTTGGTGTCTGAGTTGAACTTGCGATTTACGCAATAAATCCAATACAGTATTTTGGTATTTAGAAATATTGGAGATATTTATTCCCTTAACAGAATAATCATCATGGACCAGAACATCATAAAATTGACCAAAGAAGATATCATATCTAGAATCAGTTTGATAACACCTGCAAGAATAACGGAGCCTGGCCATCGGAGATGCCCTTAGTAGTATTATATTTGTGGTGCAAAGAATATTTATAAATGGCATGTGTGAAAGCAGTTTCAGTTGATGTGCTGATGAAACATTATGGACCGATTGAGAAGATGGGTTTTCTTTGTTTGGTCTTCTTCTGGGGTATACAAAGGAGAAACTTGGTTGATCGTCCCTTACCATCTTTACAACTGGAGTATCTTTTATGTCCCTTTGCTTATTATATTATCAAACCTTTTGAACTTTTTCAAATCTCTCAAATACACAAAAAATAATATATTTGTGGAGGATTTATCGAAAATAATCTCTATTAAATAAAAAATAAGGGGTAAGAATGTGGGCATGCCATTCTTCCTAAATTTTATTTATGAAACTACACTACATATGTTACTTTATTCTTTCAAAACATTTTTTTTTCTTCTGAAAAAGAGATTATTATAAATACTAAAACAATTGATGTGTGTGTGCATATGGAGTATATCAGCGAAAGAAAACAGTAACTATTGCTTATAAATCTGTCGTATTTTCTTGGTGTAATGCTTTGGTCGTTTTAAATTTTCCACTTTAAAATACTAAATTTATTATTATAAATATTAGTTAAGTTAATCACATGAAAAATAAAAATTAATTTTCTACTTAGAAGGTAGTAAATTTACTATTATAAATCCTTAGTACTAAGTTATTTTTTTAAAATTTTATTTATATGTGGACTCCATGTTTACTTGACATAATAAAAAAAATATTTTTCCATATAAAAAAGAATAATGATAAATTTGGTTGAGTGATTTTTTATTATTTATACAAATGTTTAAGTTGAGTGATTTTATTTATACAAAAGTCTAAGTTTAGTGATTTTATTGATACAAAATAAAATTCAATAAGTTTAGTAGATAAATTTTCAAAGTTGAGTGATGTTTAGGGATAAATATGGTAGGGCGTATTATAGAATACATGTGTCTTGCTTGAAGGATTAACTTTAGAAATAGGAGTTGGATATGAATTATGATGGGGAAAAGGTTACTCTTAAAGAAAGCAACTTCCATGATGGGGAAAAGAAGCTAAATAATGTCACAAATGTTGCAAGGTATCGAAAGGCAACCTATTTATATTAGTATCTTGCCTCATTCATTTTGTACATAAACAACATTCTTGTCAAATGGCAACACGGAGATCATCCTTAAGACTTCCTTGGTCTCAAGATGAATCACCAACCCAATCATCTACTCGACCCAACGCTACAACCACAACCACAACCACAACCACAAGCACGACCCTGACTGGTGAAACCCAAATCCCTTTTCAACCCTCTAATATCAACTCTACTGCCACAAATTCTCTGTCTCAAACTACTACCAGACCAAAGATTGGTCAGAGGCCACCATTTAGGCCAGCTCCTTCTCCCAAAAATCGGGCATCCAGGAACAAGTCTCAATCTTCATCACCACCTCAACCAACTAATAAGTCCCGCATAGCTTCACCATCAACTAAGTCCCGGTTGTCTCAATCTCCATCTTCATCTTGCTTAACTCCTCAATCATCCTCCCCAGCACGCAGGACTCCCCAGGTCCTTTCAACTAAAGCAAGCCAAGATTCTGTTGTAAAAACTCAAATGCAAGAAAGGAATCAGGCACTGCAACACGTCTCTTCCATATCTACAAAGGCACAGACACCCATTCTGGATAAGAAAGAACCAACGGAACAAATGGAGCTCCAAACTAAGAAACTAACCATGTCAGATGCTGTCTCTGAAGCGAAAGTAAGTTTCACAGACAAGACAATGCAACCTTTGGAAGTATCAGTGTTAAAATTCACCAGTAATACTGGTGAATCGTCTAAGTTGCTCAAAGAGTCGACTAGCAACATTCAGGAAATCAAGGAAGTGGTGCACGAGGCAATAGGTAAGGAGTATGGTGCTGGAGAACAAGTTCAACAAAAACAAGCATATATGGTGAAGCAAGAAGAGGCTACTAAAGATCAAAATTTGGTGAACCCTGCTTCTGAGGGAAGACAAACGAGAGCGAGTGCATCTCAGAACAAAACTATATCCACTGGTTCTAGTCAGAAAACTGCAGCATCCAGTGAGCCACATATTCCCCTACACAAAGAGATCAAAGATAACATCTCAAATGTTCTTAATAGAGTAGCAGTTGGAGGCGGCAACCAAGAAACTGCAGGAAAAACACCAATGAATGTGATCACTCTTGCAGGTGACAATCGAGGAGCATCTATGCAACTTGAGTCCGACTCATCCACAAAAGGAGGGCGAATCCACATTCATAGAGGATACAAAATCAACCCTGATGCAACCACAGATGGAGAGGGAACAAAATCAAATGGTGCACATGCTATCGAGGATCAAACAATAGCTGCATTCGTAAATTGCAATGTACAGGGCATCAATAATTCTATTTCATATAACAGTTCCATTACAGAAAGAAATCCAGGTGTACATATGTCGATCCCACGTGTGCCTTCAGAACCTGTACATTCAACAAGACTATTTGAGGCAGAATGCAGCGTTACACCTGCAAGAACAATCAAAAGAAGATGTCTCAGAGGCCTTTTCCTTGAATCAAGTGATTCTGATCCAGATAAACCTCACCGACATGGTTGTCGCGTTGGATGCAATGATAAGAAAAAATAACAAGATAAATGTTCTACTATAGTTGTTCTTGGCAAGGTAGAAGGAAAAGAGTTCCTTGCATACATATTTAATTAAAAAAATAGTCTGTGGGGTCAAGCAAAATGCAATAATATGTGAGTGATCCATGAAATATGCCTGTTTTAGCAGATTTTGTCACAAAGACAAGAGCAAAAGAATATACTCTCTGTAATTTAAAGGGCAATCATATTTCTTTCAAGTTGAGTAATTAAACATCTATCCAAAGAATATACTCTGTAAATTAAAGACAAAAGCCCAAATAAGTATTACTACTTCATTTATCTCTATTTATTTCTCTTACTTTTCTTTTTAGTCTGGTTTAGAAAAAAATATCTTTCCTTTTTTTGGCAATTTTTTAATTCTACTTTTCACATATTAGCATGTTCAATACCAGAAGATTAAAAGACATTTTGATACATTCTACATATTTTGATTTTAGGACGGCATGATTCAAAAGACTACTATTTACTTTCTTAAACTTCGTGTCAAGTAAAACACCAAACAAATAAATTAAAACGAAGGAACTAGGAAGTAATATACAATCTTGCCTCATTCCCAAAATTAAACCCCTTCTTACTCAAGGGATGATTCTGTTGTGGTTTCTAAAAAGAGAAACCACTAAAGATGGATCAACTGTTAAACTAATACTGAAATTCACCTTTTTTGTTATGGTAGAAAAAAGAAAAAAGAAGAAACAAATTTTAATTGGATGGCTGAGAAAGTATTTACGATTACTGTTAATTCCTTTCTCTTGTTTCTTCATATACTAGATGGGTGATGCCCGTGCATAGCAACAATTTCAAATTTCAAGGACCATTTCAACCTTCACTATAAGATAAAGATATCTCTTTACTCCAAGCTTTGGTAGATCATCTTTGAACCTGCCTAATATAAAAATCTTTGCAAAGAAAGATGACAAAATCAATAGTGAAAATGTAAGCCTTCAGCAACACATAGTTTCCTACATCACATATTCACATTTTCATTAACAGAACTATAGCAAATGAATGTTATCGAGAAAATGATCAAAATAGTCCTTCATGTATAGGGTTTGAATTATTTTGGTCCTTTATCTATGTCATCTTATCTAAATAGTCCTTAATGTATACATAAAACGTATTATTTTGGTCCTAGCCCTAAAAACTAACTGAAAACGTAAAAAAATTTGTTAAGTTTAACTGTGGGTCCCACACTCTTCTTCCTCCCTCTTTCTTCGCCGTTGCTTCTCCTTCATGTTCTTTATTTTTGTCATTTCTTCTACGATTTCTGCTCCCAAAATCCTCTCATATTCGGCAATGAAAGCGATAATTTGTATACCTGGTAAATTTTGAGGATGTGTATAGCAGATGCCATCATCCTCATCAACAGTTGGAATGAACTCATCAATAAAAGGATGGGAATTTCGATCACCACCTTCGACTTTTCCAAGTAAGTTCCCAAATAATCTCTTGATAAGTTGGATCAAATTTTACACCTCTTGGCAATCCTGGCCAGTCATGGCTGACCTGGAAAGACCAACTTAAATGTTTCAGTTAAAGATACCATAGCTACCGATTCCCTTCTGTTTATTTTCCTTCCTTTTCATGGAGGGGAAAGGGGATCTTGATAACTTTTCAAGGAAGCTAATTACAATCAATCACAAATTATCGCTTTCATTGCCGAATATGAGAGGATTTTGGGAGCAGAAATTGTAGAAGAAATGGCAAGAAAAAAGAACATAAAGGAGAAGCAATGGTGAAGAAAGAGGGAGGAAGAAGAGTGTGGGACACACAGTTAAACTTAACAGTTTTTTTTTATGTTTTCAGTTAGTTTTTAAGGCTAGGACCAAAATGATACTTTTTATGTATACATTAAGGACTATTTAGATAAGATGGTATAGATAAATGACCAAAATAATTCAAACCCTATACATGAAAGACTATTTTGATCATTTTCTCATTATCCCTCTGTAGCAGATGTTTGGTACTTTTCACTTTCTTCTTGCCCTCTAGCTGTAAAGAGATAGTAGGCCAAAATTGGCAAATAAGGGCCAAGAACTATGCATTTTTCCATAATATGATAGGAGATAGCTCATCTAAGAGGTTTTACTTTAAGAAGCCAATGGAGTTTATAACATTATCAGCCAAGTCTAGAAATTCAAGTACTTGAGTAATGCGGCAAACAGTACAACATAATGTGACCAGGTAACAGGATTGTCACGCCCCAAACTCAAAGGGCGCAACTGACTCCTAAAGCCAAAACTCAGGCCCGAGACGACCCTGCTGAACCATTTGCTATTAGCGCATGGCAGTCACATGCAATTAAGAAAACAAACAAGTATATCTCGGCTTAAAACTAAGCCCTCGGCCGGCAAGGCCCCTGTCAACAGATCTACAAAAGAACCAGCTACTCCCAATAGTTCATGTAAAGAAATATCCAATTAGCACAGAAGTCCTGATTGGGCCGTCGAGGCCACCATGATATCTATACCAAAACTAAAAAAAAACAGGTAAATATCAGTACAATACATCAAACAGCTCACAAGCTTCAGCAAACCAACAACATAGGCCAGCATGGCCATAACGTAGCTATAAACCCCACACACTAGTCTGCAAGCCTCTAAGAGTAGTAAAAAATTGGTGGGACAGGGCCCCAACCTACCCATGAGAATATATACAACAAAATGTAACAAACCTCCCAACTCTGGCAGCTCCGGAGGAAAGGGGCTGACCAATCGGATAAAAGTCAAGTCTGCTGATATGGAGGTCTACTCGGTCATCTTTCAGGACCTGCATGCATGAATGCAGCGCCCCCAAGGCAATGGGGCGTCAGTACAAAATAATGTACAGAGTATGAAAGGCAATAGACTATGATGAGGTATCCTGATATACTGGAATAATCTGATAAATAAATTAAGGATAAGATAATTGTACTGACCTGTTTCTAAATCTAAATTTATCAAAAATAATAAAAACAACAACCTAACCAAGCCCCCATAAGCTCGGTAGGTACAAACAGCACACAAGACCACCTACTCAGGCCCCCATAAGCCCGGAAGGTGCCAATCAACCTGTATACCCCTATCGGTAGTCCCCTAGCCCCGCAGGCAGTCACATAGCCCTCTTAGGCAACAACATAGCCCTCTTAGGCAACAACATGGTCCTGTAGGAAGCACATAACCTTCTTAGGCGTCAATATATATCCCTGTAGGCAACTCATAGCCCTTCTAGGCATCAATATAGCCCCGTAGGCAACTCATAGCCCTTCTAGGCATCAATATATCCCCGTAGGCAACTCATAGCCCTTTTAGGCATCCATATAGCCCTGTAGGCAGAACATAACCCTGCTAGGCATAGATCACATTCCTGCAGCTAACAATAATAGCCCAAAGGCAACAATAACAATCCAACAGCTAAAAGTGAGCAATTTAGTTATAGACAACCTATACAAATAGCCTCTAAGTCGTGTCCAACATACGAATGTTACTACTGAATAAGAATCTCGATAAGAGAGGATTATACGCACTCGAGCAGCCAACAATCAACAATAATAGCTATAAGTATAACAACGATAACAACTCAATTACATTGCTCCTGAGCTTTAAGGAAACATGTCATAGGAAGAGAATAGCCTTAACATACCTTTTTCGCTAAATTCACGTGGCCTAAAGACTTTAACTCATAACTCCCTCGATACTACAACAAGGTAGGACCATAATCAACACATAAAATAAAAGATACCATGACAATACAATAAAAGATATGTATTTCCGTCGCAAATTGCTATTTGCTGCTTATAAAAGCTAGAGTCGATGAAAGAAGGGTCTTACCTCGATCTTAGGTTCGTAATTCACCTCAAAACCTTCAAATATATTCAAACCCCTGCTGTCCCAACTCTAAAATGTGATATGCTACGCAATCGATAAAACAAATTATACCACGATGATGAGCCCAACGCGTAGAACAACTTTCGTCAAGGACTTATGTCGAGAAAATCTATATTTCACTTGATCCTAAAAATGGGTTTCTATGTTTTCTCTGTATATTTAGCTTAAAAATGAAGAAAAAAACTCGAAGAAGAAGATATATACACTTTCCACCGACCTAGGGCCCCACCTCACGCGCTTGCTTGCGCAGTCCCACGAAAATGCGAATATCTCTCTATTCTGAAGTCGTATGAATGAACGGTTTGATGCGTTGGAAACTAGACTCGTATACCTTCGATTCAATAGTTTGTGGGCCCCATAACTCTTTATAGATTGGGAGAAAACCTCCAAGACATTTGACCCAAATTTCAGAGAAATCTTTAAGAAGGAAATTACGATAACTTCCGCCAACTTTTATTTTGCCACTTACCTAACTTGAGATGCAACACTTGAACACTTAAAATAGGACATACCACATCATTCTTAATTTATTACTCACCCTCCTTGTCTTTCCACGAATATACGAGTTAATTTAGACGTTTTGAAAAGTCGGGGTGTTACATTCCTCCCCCCTTAGAAACATTCGTCCTCGAATGAAAAATCTGAGGCACACTATTCAGTCCTTAGGACTTGCCAGAATTTAGGCAGTTTATCCTTTATAAAATGTCACTATCCAGGAACCTGAAATGCAAAATTTCTAACATAGGCGTCTCACATGACAACATAAATAGCTAAGCGTTATAGCTACACCACAACAATGCGAGCAGACATACAACGACAATCACAATAATAATAAGCAATAGTATATATATATATATATATATAGGTATCTTACCTTACTGCCCTAATATAAACTGATATAACATCACCCTGGGGTATGAAACAAGTGAGGATATTTGGACCTCATGCCATCCTCAGCCTCCCAGGTCACTTCTTCTCTATTTTTATTCCTCCATAATACTTTAACCGAAGCCACCTCTTTGGTCCTCAATTTACGGACCTGCCGATCTAATATAGCAACTGGAGTCTCCTCGTAGGACAACTCCTCTGTGATCTGAACATCCTCAATTGGGACAACCCGAGAAGGGTCTCCTACACACTTCCGTAACATTGA